AGAGCTGGACCAGAGATGCTCTAATTTCTCTTTCAGCTCTCAAATTTTGCAACAAACTGAACTTCAACTTACATAGAATCATAAACAATTAAAGCAGGAAGGGGCCTTAGGAGAGGAATGAATTAATAGAATCAGAGCTGGCAGGGACATTAAGGACAATATAACCCAACCTTCTAATCAGGTCGATGAGTACACTGTGACTAAGTCACTTTCTCATTTGGTCCAACAAACTGGTTAATGGCATGCAGTTACTAGTGGTTAACCCTCTTCACTTATCTGTGGGCTACACAAATACCTCTATGCCTAATGAGTAAAGCTTGGTAAGAGGAACACAACTAAGAACAGTGCAATTATAAAGGAATAGCTAAAAGAACTGGGTCTTTATTCTGGAATAAAGAAGACATGATAGCTGTCTGCACATATTGAAAATGCTACCATGAGCACAAGAGTATAGGCCTAGTCTATGGAGTTGCAGAGGGCAGAACCAGGCTTACTCAGTAGAAGATGCAGGGAGGCAGATTTTAGTTGAAGATAGGGAAGAACTTTTAACAGTTACATCAGTGCAGTGAATTGCTTGATGAGACAATAAGCTGCCTATCACTGGCTTCTCTGAGTATCTCTCAAGATTGCTATAGGGCACCTAGGTGGTGTCATAGTGCACAGAGTGCCAGGCCTGGAGTCAGGAAGACTCATCTTTATGAGTTCAAATCCAGTCTCAGCTATTTACCAGCTGTGCAACCCTGGGCAAGTCACTTAAACCTGTTTGCCTCAGTTTCTTCATCTGCAAAATGAGCTGGAGAAAGAAATGGCAAACCACTCTAGTATCTTTGCCAAGAAAACCCAAAAGGAGTCACAAAGAGTTAGACATGACTGAAAAACAACTAAACAAATAAACAAAAAAAAAAACCCCAAGATTGTTATGGAGGCAGAGTTGAGCAACTAGAGTACGAAATATTGCATAACTTGTCAGACCCAGCTAATGTGTTAATTTTGCTGAACTGTTCTTCCCCCTCTTTCTTCTTCTTTCTTTGCTATAATGGATAGTTATAACAAGGGAAAGGAATGGAAGGCTAAAGGAGTAATATATTTGGAAAGAAGGTGATATTAAAACAGAAGATAACCAACAAAAAGTTTTTTAATGTTATATTCTTGAATTGGGTAGGAAGTTGAACTAGGAATGATCTGTATAGTCCTTCTACCTCAAAAATGGTACAATTCACTGAAACTAGAAGAACTATAGGAATAGGCAAGGGAAATATGATTACAGGGATGGTTCTATGTGAACCACCGAAAGTAGTATCTCCATCTAATACCATTTGGGGTCCTCTACTTCTACCGCCAAGTTCTCCTTCCTTCTCCTGGTAGCCACTCAAGGCATCCTGATTCTTGGGCCTATCTTTTCTGTCTCTATCCATCCAGCCTACTTGTCATTCTAACCAGTCTAAACAGAAAACCCTGCAGGGAGAAGGAGGAGGAGGACGAGGAGATGGCAAAATGTACCCAGAGCTCACGGGGCCATAAGTCACATCCTTCTAAAAACTGGACTCATGGGTTTCACCATGAAGTCTCACTGTACCTGACCTATTAGTTAACTACCTACATGACCGGCCTTGCCTCGCTCTTAACTCTCACCAATATCAAGGCTATGGTGTGGAAAAATTGAGAAGGGTAGGGCTACAGAATTCTATATTGAAAATTTGCAAATTTTATTGGGAACCTGAAAAAATGTTTGTTGTTCTTATTTTTCAGTTGTGCCCCACTCTTTGTGTCCCCATTTGAGGATTTTTTGGCAAAGATACTAAAGTGATTTCCTTCTCCAACTCATTTTACAAATGAGAAAACTGAGGCAAACAGGGTTAAGTGACTTGCCCAGGGTCACACAGCTAGTAAGTGGCTCAGGCCAGATTTGAACCCAGGTCTTCCTAACTCTAAGCTTGGCTCTCAATCCACTGTGTCACCTAGCTGACCAATGTTACTTGTCATTAATAAGACAAACTACTTTCCTAAAGTTCCAACAAAAATGTGCCCATTTCTGGAGGAGATGAATGCCAAGACTTATCTGAATGATTTTTCCTATCCATTGCAGATGTGAAGTCATCTGGAAACCTTGGCAAGACTAGACCACACCTTATGACTTTTGATGACTTCTCTGATCTTTAATAATAGGTAATGAAATACTAGGCAGTATGCCACAGCGGAATGAACCTTGGTATTGGATTCAGAAGTCTTCAAATTCAAGTCCTAGCTCCAATACCTCCTAGCTGTGTGACTTCAGGCAAGTCACCTTTCTGTATCTTGGTTTTTTCTTCCTCTTCTGTAAAATGACAATAAGAAAACTTGCATTACTATCTCATCGGGCTGTTATGAGGAATGTACTTTGCAATCTCAAAGTGTTATGTAAATGTGAGTTGAGCTGCTGTCAACCTAATATGTGGATAAGGAGCTTAGCAGTGAAAAGGTTGACATCATCCCTTTGCCTCCAAAATATGAAATTTTAAGGAATTTTCAGTAACATGAAAGATAGCTCTAAAAAAGAGATTGAACATAACTAGCATTCTTGCACATCATTTTATTTGATCTTCATAACAATGCTATAAGGCACATGCTACTATCATCCCCACTTTACAGATGAGGAAACTGAGGCTGAGAGGTTGTGATGTGACCAGCTTGAGGCAACATTTGAATTCAGGTTTTCCTTATCTAAGAAGAATCTTAGCCTTTAAAATATAGCCAGGTTACTTTCTGGGAAAGCTGAAAAATCAGCTGTTAAAAAAGCAAAAATGAGTCTATGCCCACCTTAGTGCCCACTAAAATGAAATCAGCCCTCCTCATTTGCAAGGTACTGACACTCTCCAACTATCAAACAATCCCAAAGGTGGATAGCTCTGGCCAGTTTTCAAATGCAAATTTGCTCATGAACAAAGGCTTCACTGATCACCAAATAACCTTGTTGAAATATTTAGCTGTTGTAACTGTATTTATATTTAATTTGAGATTGTTTTTTCTGTTGAGGGCTCAGGAAAAGAAAAGGACAAAAAAAAAAAAAAACCTCTCCAACTGGCTTAGAAGAGTAAGTGAAATCACTGACTGTCAAAGGAAAATGGCAATCTCACTCATCTGATTAAAGGATCCTGTTAACTCTGGGCATGAAGAAGCAACTTGATGAATCAGGTAGCAGACTGGACTGAGGTTCAAATCCCATCTTTCACCCTTGTTAGCTGTATGACCATGAGTAAACCACTCAATCTCTCTGAACCTCATTTTACTGATCTGTAAAAATCGGAATAATAACACCTATACTTCCCAGGGTTGTAATTTTCAAATGAGATAGGGAAGAAGGGAACAAGCATTTATTAAGCTAAGCACCCACCATGTGCCAGGCACACTACTAAGTGCTTTACACATATTAGTTCATTTGGTCTTCACAACAACCATTCAAGGTAGGTGCTATTATCCCCATTTTACAGTTGAAGAATTTGAGGAAGATAGAAGTTAAGTGACTTGCCCAGGATCACAAAGTGAGTAAGTGTCTGAGGCCAGATTTTAACTCAGGTCTTCCTTCCACATTTATATGATGCTTTAAAGTTTTTTTTGGGGGGGGGAGCTTTATAAGCCTTAAGGTTATTAATTCAGGAGGGGAAAAGTGCACTAAACTTGGAGTCAGGAGACTGTAGCCCCAGTTCTGCTGTATGACCTTGGGTAAGTCATTCACTTTTCTGAACCTCAGTTTCCTTTTGTAAAGAAAAAAGGAGGGAGGGATTGGACAAATGACCTTTTCCAAGGTCCCTTCTACCTTGAAGTCCTATAATTCTAATGATCTCTAAGATCTCATACAATTTCAACATTGTGATTCGGAGTGTGTCAGAAACAGCCTCAGTTATCTCTCTGTTCTAAAAATAAATAAATACCTTAATGAAATAGTAAACACTGAAATAACTGAGTCTATCTTGTAACTAAACGCTGAAAAGTGTTTACTGGCCAAACTCAAGAAATGTAATGAGTTATGGATCACTAACCTCACTGGATATGTAGAACTGGCAAATGGCATTGCTGTGTTTGTTTCTGTTTCTGTTGGGAACAGTTGAGGAAAATCTCGTCTGACTTTAATTACCACCTGTAGCCCTAACAAGCCCTATCAGAAAAGTCTCAGAAAGGGTTTGGATTCTTTCAGACTCTGAAGAGGAGAGTTGGCTGTTGCTGGAACCCAAGTCTTTGGTTCACAGTTTTATGAAAAAAATGAAGGCAGAGATGAAGTACGTACAAGAAACAGAGTTGAAATGGGGGAAGAAAAAAAGGCTTATGTGTAATTTGAACGTTCAAATCAAGACTGACTGATACCCAAAATCTTTCTGAAGTCTGTTTTCTTTTTCGTCTCAAGAAGGAAGATTAGCAATGTGCTCAGGGCTGAGACAGGACCTTGATGACACTCCAACCTAAATTAACTGTTCTGGTACTTTGGAGAAAGATTCAGGGGCCGTGGAGGGTGGGGGAGAGGGGTGTTGGGGGGGAGGGGCAGCAGGAGAGGAACGCAGAAGCAACCACCTTCTCTTGGCATTTGAAGACATCCCCCTATGCCCCCCAGAGGCTTGGAGATGGAATTAACTGTGTGACAGGAAGTTCAGGGTGAGCACCATCACATCAGCCAGCCAGCCCCCACCTAGGTGGGTGGCCCATGGGCTGGGGCAGTCTCAGCTTCCTTCCTTGTGTCACCCTGGGGGTTAAAGAAACGTTTCCTTCTCTCCCCAGGGCCTTCCTCCTGACGCTAAGGACTCTAATCTTAAATAGTCATACCGGGAGGCTCCCCTAGCTAAAAACCAGGGCTTCTCATCACCCACCTACTGGTCCCAAACTTTATATGGACCGGCTCTAGGCTTAGCCAACACCCGCTCACGCGCGCTCACACACACCCACACTCGGGCCTGCTTCCACAGACCGCAGGCAGACATTTGTTCGCACAGACCAAGCGTCTATGCAGTGTAGAATCCTCAGGTAACACCTACCTTGACACTGAAATCCCTGTTTTCCGAATCCCCTGCAAAAGGAGACGGAAGACACATTACCCTGAGTGTCTGTCTCCCGCCCTCTCCTTTCCCTTTTTCTCCTTCTCCCACCTGCCCCGGGGGTCCTGAGGGAGCTGGGTGCGCTCAGCACGCTCCCGCTCCAGGGGGCTGCAGGGAACCTGAACGCAGTGCCCCGCCCCGCCCCTCTCCCCCCAGAAGTGGAGCCGCAAAGTTACTGGTCGGTCTCAGGGCTGCGGGGGAAGCGAACTAGTGGCTCAGAGGGGGCTCCCACGGTGGCCCCAGGATGCGGAGCCAGTGAGCGCTTGCCAACCCGGGAGATGGTTAAGGCGGGCTTAAGGTTCGAGGTCCCTACCGCTGGGGCCGGGGAAAGGGCGGGGGTGCCTTGGTAGCAACAGAGGACAGCGCCGTGAGGAGACGGCAGGGGTTGGGCTAAAACAGAAGCATCTGTCCCTGAAGTGAGGCTGGGGGGGATTTCAAATCCCTGAGAGGAGGTCAGGTTCTGGGGCCAGGATTCTGCTGCAGCCGTGGCCGCGGAGGAGGGCGGAGGTTGCACCAGTCGCCTGGGAAGGAGCGGGTGTAAAAAGGAGGGGGGGTTGAGATGGAGCGGGAAGTAAGAGGGGCACCAGAGGCGAGTGCACCCCAGGGCGGGTGGGGAGTGGGGAACCCGAGTTCCCCCCGGGTAGGAGGTGGCGAGGGACGCCTCGCGCGCGCGCGCTCACCAGATGAAGTCGGTGCAGTGGCTGCAGAAGGTGGGCTGCTTGAAGAAGCGGGCGGTGAATTTGTGGTTCTTCACCTCATGGACATTCTTCTGCCGGAGGGCCCCTTTGCGGGCGAAGCGGACCGTGTTCTCTTCGCCTTCGCTCGGCGGCGGCACCGCAGCCGGGTCAGCCATCTTGCGCGCAAGGAAGAGCGGAGAGGTACCGGGAGCTGGGAAAGAGGCGACAGCAGCTGCCGGGGCCACTTGGTCTTCCTTCCCTCGCCGTGCGGTTTGTCGCCCCGCCGCCGCCTAGCCTAGCGGAGCTCCGAGCTGTCACTGCCCCCAGCTGCCGTCGCTCCTCCAGCTGCGCTCTGCACCGCTGTCCACAGCTGCGTGGGTGGGAGGTGGAGACCAGAGGGGACCGCCCCCTTCATTTGCATTACTCTTCCAGGCCACACCCATCCTGGGTTTCTCATTTACATATTCGCACTCCCTCTGCGGTTTCAGACCTCCCCAACACCCCTCCCCCTCTGCTCGCGCATCCGCAGCGTGGCCAGAGCTGCCCCAGCTCCCCAGCTCCCCAGCTCCCGTTTTGCATAACTGAGCCAGGCTGGACTCCTCTGCCCGCCTCTTATTTACATTAGGGCCAGCCAAAGTCCTACCCCAAGCAGCTTCTCCTTTGCAGGGCTCGGGTATCACTGCAGCTGCGAGGGAGGGTAGGATCACAACTCCTACAGAGACCCCCAGTGACACCACCACCATTCCTATTGCTACTAGATGCAGCTCCTTTCTGCAATCAGTAGTCTCCCCATTCATTCACATCGTGCTTACACCGTGATCCTTGACAGTGGAAGAAGAAAGGTCTTAAATTGGAATGAGAACCAAATGTGGAAATCTGCCTGAAAAATCGCGGGCTTAGCTTCAATGACAGTCACCTTCTCTTCTTTCTCTATTCTGACTGCCTTTTTCTGCCGCCGCCGCCGCTGCCGCCCCCTACCCTTTCCATTATCTGTTTTAGTCAAGATGACATTAGGGGACATACCTTCAGTGAAGAGATGTCCATCTCCTTTCAAATGCCATTCATAAAGTCTTCTTGACGCACCTCCTGCTTTCCAGTTTCTGCAGAGATGGTGATGTGTGAATATGTGATGGAGGGGGCTGAACAAAACCAGAAATGTCCCTGTTAGAAAGAACTCTACCTTTGGGGTCAGATAGAACACCTAAGGTTTAAAAGAAAATTCCAGCACTTGCTAGTTGTAAGACCATGCCCAAGTCACTAGACCTCCTTGAGCAGTTTTTCCTCATCAGCAAAATAGAAATAATAATCTCTACCAGACCTACCTCACAGGTAGGTTGTGAGGGAAGCAGTTGGCAAATTAACTACAAAGCTCTCTATGAATATGAGCTATGTATCATAGAGCTATTAATATTACAAATGCATATATGTTCCAGTATAATCTGGCCTCAAACACTTACAAACTGTGTGACCCTGGGCAAATCATTTAACCCTATTTACTTCGGATTCCTTATCTGCATAATGAGCTGAAGGAGGAAATGGCAAACTACTCCAGTTATCTTTGCCAAGAAAACCTTAAGTGGGGTCACAAGGAGTCAATGAGGTCTGAAAATGACTGAACAACAACCAGTATGAGGTAGGTTTAGGCAAATACTATTCCTGGCTTTGCTGACACCAATATTAAAGGTCCCAACTTCTGTCCATCCCCTTCAGAGAAGGGGCTGAACAGATCTCTAGAGATGAATGAAAGTAGTCTTTGGAGCAGCTATAAGACCCTTCCTCCTGATAAAGATCAATTCTAATCAGATTACTTTTGCCTTGAAACTGCTGAGATGAAAGTTGTTATTTCATAGCTTCTAAGGAAAGTTGCACTATAATAATGAAATATGCCTCCTCTGCCTAGCTATTCAAAGGCTACAGGGGGAAAAAATAGCAGTCTCTTTTAAGGGTACAACATATTTGGGAAAATTGGCCAAGGATTTCTATTCTTAGGTCTTTAAAAAGTCCCCACAACCTCATAGAAGATTAGGGAAATGTTGTAGCAAGAGAAAACACTGCAAAGGTTTGTTTCCTTTGAACCTATGAGCTAGAGGCTTTTATCCAACATCCTGTCCTTTGAATGAAGCCCACTCAGGCAGTTTTGTAACAGCAAACAATACATAGCATCAGCCTGTGGCACTGGAAGTGGGAATAAGGAATGGTTAGTGCCCCACTCCTGCCCTTCGACTTCAAAGTAGACTTGGAAGGGAGTTACTAATCCTTAGGGAGGGAATTTTAGGAAAGACCTCTCTAAGGAAGCCAGAGAAAATGCAAGGAGGAAAAAAAATCCATTTGTCATTGACTGGGGTATACTCAGTGGAGGTAAAATGAGCTAATGAGCAGCCCTATTGTAAATGACCCAATAAAATTTGAATAATAGCCTGTCAGTTATGATTCTTTACTGTTTAGCATTCTTTTTCCTTTGTGAGAATAAAACTACCTGTTCTATAACTGATTATGTTTGTACTCTGTGGGTACCTTTTTTACTTTTTTTTTTCTTTTTTTTTTAACCACCTAAACCAGAACTCCTTAGACTAGCCCAAAATAGATCTGTTCCTCAGGAATCTGAGGTGGAAGTGCAATTGAAGCATTGGGGAGCCTAGTTCCTCTATTGGGGAGACAAGCAAGTCCAGAGCAATGAACCCAGGGCAAACCACATGGGTGGGTATAGAACAGGGATTAGTGAAGGTTGCCAGCCCCTGTGGCTTCAGCTTATTTGTGCCTGGCAAGCTACTATGCTAAATTTGTATGCCCAGGACCTAGCAATTGATTAACAAATTTTTATTGAACTGAATCAAATCAAAGTGCTTTTTTGCCGAAGGGCTACCAATTTCCTCAAAATTTCCAGGGTCTCAGCAACCACAACTTCCTCTAACCGCCTGCACTTTGGAAACAATTGCCTGTGAAAGACTGAAGGGTTTCTCCCACCCTCAAGCATTTACTGGGTTCCTTTTCAAAGAGGGAGGAGTGATCATTTCTGCTGCTTTAAAGCAGGCTTCCGCAAAGAAAGGCCTTCCTTAAGATTCCCTTCCCCTAAAGACAGAGTAGTGGAAAGAGCAGAGAAGTCAAGAGAGTGAGACACAAATAAACTAGAACTTCAACAATTTGAAAATTATTTGAAAAGCACCTTGTAAGGAAGTTTAAAGACAATATATGAGAGGTTCTTCCAACAGGGAAATAGATAATGCCAGAGGATGGAGAATAAAGAGCAGAAAGAGTGAAAGGATGTTTTTAGAACTACATCTTTATATCTATCCTCAAATTGCTAAGAGAAATTCTCACTCCCAATCCAGTTTAGAAAACCTAGAACAGAGGTATGAATAAATGATATGTTCTAGAACTAAATAAAGAAGGATGTATACATCTCTCACTAGACCCTGCACTGAGGTCTGGAGGCAATCCCAAATGACATTGTCCAGAACCCAAACTGCCCATTAAAATAATGCACTATGCACTAATAATGTGTAATAATCCGCTGTGCAAGAGGACTGGGAGATTCCAAGTGGGGCCCCTATTCATAAGAATGACACCAACAGGGGCTGAAAGCCTTGGCCTGAATTCCATTTCCATACTCGGCAGACTAGTAGCATCAGCAATAGGACAGGCTCCCACAAGGCTGAAGCAAACTTTCCCTTTGGGGAGAAAGGCAACATGGTTCCTATGAAGGCAAATTAGTTTTAGTAGAGTTCTCTAAGGAGAGGATTCTAAATAGGGATGAAGAAGGTACTAATAAATTTCATTTATTTGAAATTTCAAAAAGCTTTTTATACCAGTCCCAACATTTAGAAGAATCTAAGTTGGTTTGGCATGTGGAAGGGAACTAGAGGGAAGCAGCTGTGGTGTAGTGGAAACATGGTAGGCATTGGAGCCAGGGTTCAAATCCTGGCTGCGTCATTTACTGCCCATGTGACCTTAGGCAAGCAACTTATTCTCTCTGGGCCTCAGTTTCTTTATCTATAAAATAAAGGAGTTATACTACGTATCCTCTATTGTCTATTATAGCTCCAAAGCTATGAAATCAAAGGACCAAATCTTGGCTCTGCCACCCACTTCTTACCTGTTTGACCTTGGGTAAATCACTTACTCATTTATGGCCCTCACTTTACTCATCTGTAACATTAGAAGATTTAGTTCAATGATCATAATCTCTAAGGAATCATCTAAGACCTAATTTAAGAAAAATTTTCTACTTCCTTTAAGAAGTGGAAAGAATATTAGCTAACAAATTTAAAATGTTACAAAATGACAGTTTGTCAGAGCATACCTGAGTTTGACAAAATGACTTTCAGAACTCTTAACTCAATGCAGCTTTTTTAAAAATTTAATTTCATTTTTTTCAATTAATGAAATTTATTTTCTCTCCCTCCCTACCTCATCCGAACTAAGAAACAAAAACAAAACCCTTATAGCAAATATGCATAATCAAGAAAAACAAATTCCTGCACTGGCCATGTCCAAAAAGATATTTCATTATGTACCCTGGGTCCATCATCTCTGTCAGGAGAAAGTAGGATGTTTCTTCATTGGTCCTCTGGAATCATGGTTGCTCATTGCATTGATCAGAGCTCTTCAGTCTTTTTAAAGTTGTCTTTACAATCTTGTTATTGTATAAATCATTCTCCTGGTACTATTAATTTCATTCTGCATCAATTCATGCAGATCTTTACAGACTTCTCTGAAACTATCACTTTAATTATTTCTTAAGGCACAGTAGTATTTGATGACATTCATACACCATAATTTGTTCAGTCATTCCCCCAACTGATGAGTTAATGCAGCTTCCCTGGCCCTTCTGCCAATCTCAGAACTAAGTTCTCCAATTCCCACTGTTCTGGTTTCTGTTCCCTAAATATTCTATCAAGCCTGCACCTCATAACCTCCAACTTAGCTTTCTTCTTTGGTGTATCAACTCCATTCTCACTATCTCCCTACCGTAAACCAAGGCCCATACTCTTGACAACCCTAGAGGCTTCTTCCTGATTTTGACCCTCACATTCCCAATTCCTGCACAACAGAGTCGCCCTCCATCTGCAGGTCCCTGCACCTTTGATAGCTGAAGGGGACACCTTTAATGAGTTTCTACACCAAAGACGATTTTTTAAAAAATTGAGTCACCATGAGGTTGAGGAGACTTGTTTGTCATGTTTAGGGAAGAGATCAGTACTAGGACCTGTCTTATATAAGATTTTTATACATGATCTGGAGGAGTGAGTATGCAGTGACATCTCTGAGTTTGCAGATGACTCTGAGCTCTTCTGGGTGGTGAAATGCCAAGCCAATGGGGATATGTTGTAGGAAGAATTCATAA